AACAAAAGAGAAAAAGTTAAGTAAAAAAAAAAATCCAACTGGTGCCAAAATTGTTTTTTTTTTTAAATAGATTTGTACTGATACCTTCTGTTTTAACATTGCTTAAATTTCTTCCTATGTCCCTGTCCTCCCAGAGAGCAGTCCCTTATAACAAAGAATTTAAAAAAAAAAAAAAAGGAAAAAAATACAGCAAAACTGATCAGTACATTAAAAAATCTGGCATGTCTATCTTACACACCTGTGGGCCCCTCTGCACAGGAGTGGTGGGAGCTGTCTTCTTCCATCTCTTGTTTGGGGCCAAACTTGCTCTTTATAATTTTGCAGCATACATTTTCTATTCTCTTGTGGTGGTCATTCTTTCCATTGACATTGTTGTAATCGTGTGTACTGTTTTCCTGGCTCTTCTTACTTCACTTTATATCATGTATAATGTGTTCTGGACACCTTGGTTTGGAGATAACTGCTGGACATCCAGTTTGAAATGACCGTATTGAGTTGAGTTGGGACATGTTGAGTTATATCAGTTCCCCTAAGCCTTTCTGTGCTTCTCTGTATTTATCAGGGTTGTCGTTTCTTAAAACGTTGCAGCATTTCAGTTAGCCATTCCCCAATTAATGTGGAATCTATTTTGCTTGCAGTTCACGGCTGCCACAAAAAGCAGTATAAATATTTTAGTGTATGTGGAACCTTTCTCTTAGTGACCTTTTTAGGATATATGCCTCACAGGGGAATCTCTGGCTTAAAAAAATATATGGACATTTTAGCCACTTTATTTTTATAATTCCAAATCACTTTCCAGAATGGTGATACTAATTCTCAAGTCCACTACCAATGCATTAGTGTGTCTGTATTTCCACAACCCCTTCAACATTGACTGTTCCCATCTTTTGCCATCTTTGCCAATTTGCTGGATGAGAGGTGAAACTTCAGATTTGCATTTCTTTTATTAGTGATTTTGAGCATTTTTTCATATGGTTCTTAATAGTTTACCATTCTTTTTTTGAGAATTGTGACCACTTCCTTTCTTTTCTTGATACATTAATTTTGGTTGTGCAAAAGCTTTTTCTTATCATGTAATCAGAATTATTCTATCTTTTATAACTGCTTCCATCCATTGTTTAGCTAAGAATGCATCTCATACCCATAGCTTTGAACTGTGATTTGCTTCTTTTCCAAATTTTTTATAGTACTGAAAGATCTTTAATATTTAGGTTGTATGTCGATTTTGAATTTGTTGTGGAGTGTGTTGTAACACGTTTTTGAACCCTTAGTCCCCTGCCTGCTCAGTGTTCTTATTCTCTCATGGGGCAGGGGTACTTCAGCTTGCCAAAAGTACCAAGGCACATGGCAACAGGAGGGTCAGAAATGCCTGCATGAAATCCAAGTGGAAGCTTAGTCAGGCTTGCTTGTTTGCCTTTAGAAATAAAGTACTTTGCATCATCAGACATCCCGAAGTCTCTAGCTTCTGTAAAAGGGTTCACCAAAACCCATTTAGATGGGCTTGGAAGTCAACGAGGTTTGGTGGTCCTGTTCGTCGTCACTGCAGATTCAGTGGAAGACCCTGGCCGATCAGCCTGCCGGGGAGCGCTGTGACCCCTGAGGAGGAGCAGGGGGCGGGGGGAGTGGAGGCCATCTTGCAGCCATCATCTGTCAGATACATTTCATCCTGCCTTGTCCTTGATGCAGGAAGGCCTGACGGAGCTGAACAGCACCGCCATCAAACCTCAGGTGAAGCCCTGGATCAACATCTTCCTCTCTGTCTCCCACAACATTGAGGAGGTAATTCTGTCCTGGGGACGTGGTGATGATAGCATAGCTAGCATTTAGATAGTGCTTGAAGATTCACAAAGCACTTTACAAGTATTATCTCATTTTATCCTCACAACCCTGGGAGGGAGGTGCAATTATTATCCCCATTTTACAGATGAGGAAACTAAGGCAGGCTGCTGTTACACGATTTGCCCAGTCACCAGATAGTAAGTTTCTGCGGCAGGAATTCAACTCACATCGTCCTGACTTCAGGTCCAGTTTGTGACCCCTGGGATGCCCCTGGGACGCCCCTGGGATCCCTTATCCCCAGGATTCGATACTGTGACTAGGCTGGAGAGTATTGGAGCTGTCCTGTGGTAGGACCTGCTCACGGGGCTGCTTTGATCCTGCGGGTGTGCTGGCAGCTTCTTCTGCCCGCCTCATGTCCTCACATCCCCCGTCATTCATTAGGAAGCAAGTTGTCTCCTCTGCATAGAGTGCTGTCGTGGAGGTTTTAATTCGGAGGGCACGTCTGAAGGGAATTCTGCAGCATGGATTGAACCTTCTAATTGCCTCATCCCCTTGTCTGTAAAAAGCTTCTGCGTTTCTCTTGACCTGTTCCTGATTTTACAGACACACCTAGAACACACATTATAGGGAAGGAATAAAAGCGTTTGGAGCCCCAGCATATTGTGTGGCCAAGTGCTCGTGAGCTCCTCCAGTAGTGGGAGCAAGAGCCGAGTTCAGAGTCACACTACGGGGATGAGTTGTTTCTCAGCTGTTACGTAACTGGGGTGTTGCAGTCCTGCCATCAGCTTGCGAGTCTGGACTCTTTTTTAGCAGCATGAGTTGGGGGAGCAGGGAATGATGTCGGAGAGCCCCCGAGGGGATGGCGGGCCACCCAGTGGAGCAGACTTCATTGTGTCCTGTGGACTGGAGGCAGAGATGACACTGAGCTTTGTTTTCCTTCCCACCATTAGGAAGAATTCAATGACTATGAAGCGAATGACCCATGGGTGCAACAGTTCATTCTTAACCTCGAGCAGCAAATGGCCGAGTTCAAGGTGAGCATCCCGGGCCTCCCTAAAGTGCCTTGGGTCAGGGCAGCCTCTGCCTGCAGGGCCTGGCGCCCTAAGCTGATGTCCATCCTCTGTGCAGGCCGGGCTCTCCCCTGTCATCTACGACAGCCTCACCAGCCTCATGACCAGCCTCATTGCCATTGAACTGGAGAAAGTGGTGCTGAAATCCACCTTCAACAGGGTAAGGCCTTAGGGCATGTGGTCAGAGTCCTGCCCACTCGCTTCCCTCCCAAGGGAAGGGCCTCCCAGGGGACCAGACTCCTTTGCCTGACTTTCAGGCTCTCACCTGCTTGCTTTTCTGGCCTTCTCCCCTCTTACTCTCCTCCTTCCACTTTCTGCCTCAGCCAAACCAGACCGCTGTGTCCTTCAAACATGAAGTATCCTTTGCTCCCCCTGGTCCCCCTGCCTAGGATGCCCTCCTTCCTTTTGTCCCTGCTTAATTCCTTTTTTTTTTTCCTGGTGAGGCAGTTGGGGTTAAGTGACTTGCCTAGGGTCACACAGCTAGTGTCAAGTGTCTGAGGCTGGATTTGAACTCAGGTCTTCCTGACTCCAGGGCCAGTACCCCCTGTTTAATTCGTATTCACCCTTTAAAACTGCTCAAAACCACATCCTCCATAAAACTTGTCCTCATTCCTCTGGTCCATAAATAATGACCCTCCTGGACCTCACATAGCCAGTTGTTTGGGATATTGTTCATTATATTGTTGTGTTATTATGAGGGGAGGGGCTGTGTACGCGGGACCCCACCCCATCCCACTCCCATTGCAGCACCTTATGTTGCTCCTGCATTTACTGGATGAAATGAGTACGGAAGCCCAGGCCTCCAACTTGAAAGGCCTCCTTGGGCTTTTGTCTTGCAGCTGGGCGGCCTGCAGTTTGACAAGGAGCTGAGGTCCCTTGTCGCTTACCTCACCACAGTGACCACCTGGACCATCCGAGACAAGTTTGCCAGGCTTTCCCAGATGGCAACCATCCTCAATCTGGAAAGGGTGAGTGGAGGCTTTGGGACTGGCAAGAGCTCCCCTCGCTTGCCAGGGAAGGATGGGTTGGGAAGGAGCTAAGTTTCAAGAGACCACTGACCAGGGGACAGAGGGGACCTAGAGCCATGCCGTGTGGCACATCCTACCACAGAGAGCCATGGCCAGTAGAACCCTCTGCCCCTCTAACAAGAACCATGGGGCTTTTCCCTTAGCAGCAATGACTGTCTGTGGGGATGTTCCTTCTCCCTGCTGACTTGCTTCTCTGGCCCTCCACTCCAGGTGACAGAAATCCTGGATTATTGGGGTGCCAACTCAGGCCCACTCACATGGCGCCTGACTCCCGCTGAGGTGCGGCAGGTGTTGGCCCTACGCATCGATTTCCGCGGTGAAGACATTAAGAGGCTTCGCTTGTAGCTGGAAGGACAAGTCCACCCAACTCCATGTGTTTTGGAGTCTCTCGGTAGTTGAGGCCCAGAGAGCTGTCAGCCTGAAAATCCCCGGGATTTGCTGCAGCCGGGCAGGCCTGACTCAGGCCATCTCTTTGGCATGGCAGTAATGTCTGGGGGCCCAGCCTATTCCCTTTCTAGAAACAGGTAAATGAGCCACCCTGGATATCTGTCTGCCTCCCAAGTTTGACCAAACCCACGAAGGACCCCCATATACATTCCTGCAGAGGAGAGAAAAGCCATACATCAGGTTAGGAGTATGGTAACGACCAGAATGTAGAACACAGGCCGGTTTCCTGCTGTGGGGGAGAAGAGCCACCACCCCTCAGACACTACAGAAAACAGTTATACCTCCCTTCTGGCCGGGCCAATAGACTCCTCTTGGGAGACTTGGGGGCAGCTGGAGAACAGTAGAGATCCTCAGGAGATGGAGGAAGTACGGAATGTTCCATTATATGTAGCGGTCACATTAAATAAAGACTGAGACTCGAAAACTGCTAGGGGTGTAGTTTTAAGAGAAGGGCCAAAGGAGGGGTCAGGGAAGTACCTAAGCCTAGAGAATGAGGCTAGAAAGCGCCTGCTGCCCTCGGTGCAGATGGTGATGTGGGGACTGAGGAAGCCTCCTCGGCCATTCACCACCCACCCCAGCAGGAGCGTCCTCTGACACAGCTCACTGCGAACCAGATCACTCCAGCCTTGGTGTCCCATGATGAACAGGCAAGTGGAAATCACTTTCAGAAGCTTCCTACTAAAGAATGATCAGTTTATTGCCACTAAAAATCACAACCTGAAAGGCCTGGTTCTGGCAGTAGCTTGTGCAGGTGACTCGTGTGTCCTTTTTAGAACATATGACTCAACATTCATTTGTTAAAACCTGAATTTGCAATGACTTTGTTCGGCACCCCCTCTAGCTCCAGGCCCCAGGCTAGAGAATTGGGTGTGGTGAAGACAGTATGTCACCACACTCGTGGCTGGCATGAAGTGAGTCAGCCTCATGGATACCCCAGCCTCCCTGTGCCCAAAATGACCACGGCGCTGCTCCCTACTCCTTCACCTGCTGGTGGAGTTGCTACTTCATTAGTAGTTCTCTGAAGCTTGGTGGGAGGGAAGTCTGGCTTCCTTTGGTTTACCCAGCCCAGAAGGGAAATAAACTCCCTAGTATGCTTGCTACAATTGGGCCAAGGTGTGCAGAAAATTAGAATTGTGTCCTAGAGTCCCCAAGACAGAGCCAGCCTCCTATGGAAGGGGCCCTGGAGAAGGCAGAAAGGAAAGACTGAGATTCACAGGGCCGCTTGGTGTGGGAAATCAGGTGCACGAGGGGACGATTGGTTTGGTTTCTGGGTCAGTATGTCAGGTGGCTAGTCTGGACTGCTGTCAGCAGGCAGTGGTCTTGTGTGACCTGGGGACCTCAGCTTCATCTGCAAAATGAGAACGCTGCTCTACGTGAGCTGCACGCTTTCTTTCAACTCCTGATCCATTTGTGCCAGAGAAGCACCAGAGGACAGTGGGCCCAGTGGTGCTAAAGTCCAACAAAACCCCAAGTAAATGTCAGTGTACCCAATTTGTAGAAATGAGTTGACAGAATTAGCAGCATAACCTAGGGGAGGGATGGCCTGTTCTCATTGATTCCCCTCAGTTCCACGTTACGTCCCCCTCCTCACATCGGTAGAACAGTGGGGTTGATCACTCGTGATCACCGACCAGCAAGGTAGGCCCTTGGGGCTCTGAGCCTAGGCCACCATGACAGGAGGATGAGATGAGTGAGGCTGAGATAGAGACCATGTTAATGTCTGCTGGGACTGGGAAATCCCAAACGCCTTGCCATTCCTCAAAGAATAGGCTGCTTGCCATCTCAAGTCCCAACAATTCTTGCTCTGGCTCCCAGAGAGAAACAAAAGAGAATGGTGTTTGCCTCTTCCTATGAGGAAAGTAAAAAAGCCGGGGCTCACTGGGCACAAAGTTCGGGCTCTTCCCTGCCTGGCATTACAACTGTGTCTGGCTGGAACGGGGCCTGGGAGTCGAGGAGCCGTCAGGCAGAAGTGTCACTGGCCAGCAGCTGCAGGCTGAAGCCCTGGGTGTCCACCTCCACCAGGTGGATGCTGTAGTTCTCCAAACCCTAGGAGGGAAGCGCAGCAGGTGAAAAGCTCTGGGAGATGGAGAGGCCCCACAGAAGGCCAGGGGTTGGCCAGCACAAAGAGCAGCTCCCATCACCTGTCAGTCAAAGTGGGTGACTTGGGGGGAGCCTCAAACCCCGGCTAAGCCAATTAGCCTTGTTCATTCCCCTTCCCCAGCCCACGCTCCTGCTCTGAAGCGGCACGTACCTCTGTCTTGGCCAGCACTCCCTCGAGGACCTCTTTCTGCCGGGGTTCTTTAGTCAACAAGTAGAGGAAACCGCCGCCGCCAGCCCCCGCCAGGCTTTGGCCATGCACATAGGGCTTCAGGGCGTCCATCATGCGCCGCACGGCCTGGGGTTCACAGCCAGGAGCCATACACTTCTTCTGTCCCCAGTACCGACTCAGACACCGGCCCAGAAGGGGCAGGCTCCCTGCCAGGGGACACAGGAAATGGGCAGCCCTGGGCATTCTCAGAATATCTGTCTACTTCTCAGCTTTGGAGATCAAGTCTGCTGAGCAGGAAGCAGTCCCCAGGGCCAACACCAGCGATGGGAGGCCCAGAATCTCTCCTGAGTCCTCTACTGCCACCTTCCCTCTCTAGGGACAGGGCTGCCAGTCCTTGACTACTGGTAACAGCCCCTAAAAAGGCCCGTGGGATAGTCTAGGGACGGGGAAGGTAGGGACCCATCATCTTGTTGACCTAGGGGAGACCAGCATGGACCAATTCAAGTCAGACTGCAGCTATAGATACAGGGATCTCCTCAGTCCTGCTTCTCGGCTCGTCTCCACTTGTGCTTCTTCCTTACTGTGCCTAAGGAGCCCGTTGGGTGGTTGGCACCTTTAGCCCCAGATGGTTAGACTTCCAAAGGTAAACTCTGGCACTGGTCTATCACTTTGTAGGGGAAATGTGAGTGATAATGATGGCAGCTAGCATGTATCTCCCCTGAAAGTCCTGAATGCCAACTCTCACTGAAGTCTGTCTAGTCACTGGGGTAAAGGTTATTGGGTTCCCCTCCTTCCCCCCACCCCAGAGACCCATGGATAAGATGCCTTTTGGAGAGCTCCCCTGACCGTCCCCAAGTGAGGCACCCATTCCTCAAACAGGACTTACCTTGGCTGAAGGCCTGAGCACATTCCTCAGCATTTCTCATCAAAGCTTGGGCATTGTCCACTACGGCAGGCAGCCGGGCATACCAGTTCCTCAGTACATCCTGCAGTTGGTGATGGAAGCATAAAAGGAAAAGGAATGCAAATTGGCAGGCATGGACACAGGGCCGAAATGAGGCATCACTCCCCATCATCCGTCCTCCTCAATCCATCTAGTGGATCAGGGAGAAGCTGACAACAGAGGAAGAACTTACCTGAAGCAAGTTCCGTGCCAAGCGGGTCTTGCCTGTGTACACTAGAAGTAGGTGCTCATTGAGAGTCTGTATAAAGTCTGTAGGCACCGAAATCTCTTCCACCTCCACCTTCAATGGCAGCTGAGGCCTTGATCGCCCTATCTTTATGCCTGGTACGAGGCCACCCACCTGGTCTTGCCAGCCACCTCCTGCAAATCCCAAGGCCCTGTCACTGGTAAAACATTTTTTGACATATCTCCCAAGCCCCATCATTGACTCCATATTCTCATCCTCTGACTCATTCGTTCAATAGATATCAAGTGCCTACTATGTGCTAAGCGCTAGGGATACAAAAGAGGCAAAAAACACGGCTAGTAAGGAATTATGTTTTGCACGACTTCACATGTGTAGCTGATATCACATCACTTGCCTTCTCAATGGAGGGGAGAAGCAGGAGGGAGGGATAGAATTTGGAACTCAAAATTTTTAAAAGTGTAATGGGGAAATATTTAATAAATAATGTAATTTTTTTTTAAAAGAAGCAAAAGACTGTCCCTGCCCTCAGGGAGCTTACGGGGGGGGGGGACAACATGTAAACCAGGCAGGCCACGTACAGGATAAATAGGACATAATTAAAAGAGGGAAAGCAAACTCTTCTTTCTCTTACTCCAGAGCTTTTAGTCTAGAGGAGCAAAAGAGCAAAGAGCCAAAAGACACCAAAGCCCAAACTCTGCCACCTCACAGCTGTGCTACTCTCTTCAGACCCCTTACCCTTGCTCAGTCTCAGGACTCTGTAAATGATAAAGCTCTATAAATATGTGAGATAGATATGATCATTATAATTCTAACTTGCCTGGACCAGCTGTATCCAGCCCAGGAATATATCCTTGATGAAGTACAGGAGATGAAATTTCCAGCTTCTGACCATAGGTATGAGCACAGGGGCCCAGGAGAAACTCAGAAGCAAAAATGGTCTTCCCATGCCAAGCACCCAGGGTGACTACAACTGAGTCCACAAATGTCTACAGTCCCTCAGCATCCCCAAGAAGTGGCCAGAAGGGCTGAAAATAACCAGAGACTTGGTGGGCAGCATTAAGTATGGAGGGAGACGAAAATGCCAGGCAGATCACATGTAGATTATGAGATGAAGGTCCCCTAGATGGAGTTCTGGGATATGGCCAGGTCATGGGTGATAAAAATGTAAGCTCCTTGAGGGTAGGGGCTATTCTTTTTTTTGTCTTTGATTCCCAGCATACTAGCATAGTGTCTGGCACGTAGTAGGCACCTAATAAATGCTTGATGGTTTATGGGCCTTGGGAAAATTCTAGATGAGCCCCATTTACAAGGGCTGGGGCCCCTACCCCACTGCCATTTCCTAAGCTCCCATTCCTCCAAGGTCCAACCTCTCTCCCTCCTTTTCCCCATCATACCCGTGGTAAGCATCTGCTCCAAATGTAGCACAGCATGGATCAAGGCGTGAGTGTCCACTGCTCTACCCACTGCCCGATGCAAGGCCGCCAGCACTGCCCCTGCCAGGATGCTACTTGTGCCTACAGTGTTAGGAGAAAGCAGCATCTGCTTTAGCACCTTACTGGGCAGAAGGGGTTGAGGCTGGGAAGGGACTGGCAGAAAGAGAAACTTAAGGCTAGGGCCCTGGCCAAGAGTCTGGAATAGAGAGGTGGACAGAATGGGACCAGAGCACAGACCAAGGGCAGCACTGTTAACAGAGGGGCCACTCACCCAGGCCAGAGCCATGAGGCAGGTCAGACCACGTGTGCAGCTCGAAGCCACCCCCAAAGCCATGGTGAAGCTGGGTCTGCAGGGACTCTGGGGAGGGGAGCTGCACAATCTGGGCACAGATGAAAGCTGCCTTCAGCAGAGCCCCTGAAAGGAAATAGAGGAGGGGAAGAGAACTAAACCCGCCATCCCAAGCTAAACCAAGACATTCAACCCAATCCAACACACGTTTCTTTTTTTTAAATTGATCTTCCATTTCTTACATCACCAGAGCATCTCATGTATCTATCTCCCTCCCCAAGAGTCATCCCATATGATAAACAATTTTTTTGAGAGAGGAAAAAAGTCAGCATAATTGATCAACACATCAAGGACATTCAGACATAAGTACAAACTCACCAGCACCCATTTCTGAAGTACCACATTACAAGCATCCTAGTCCTTAAAAACAAGCCTCACTAGAAACTCTTATCCCCCACAAGCTTTCATCTTCTCTCTTTCTTTCTTAGCCAAATTCCTAGAAAAAGCTGCCTACACTTCCTCCCATGGCTTCTCCTCTTAATCTTTTCCAACCCCTTTGAAACCTGGCTTCCATCATCATTACTCAACTGAAACCGCTCTCTCCAAAGTGACTAATGGGAGTGGAGCCAAGATGGTGGAAAAAAGGCAGGAAGTGGCCTAAGCTCCCCTTAGTTTCCCTCAATGTGACCAATGATCTCTTCATGGCCAAATCTGATAGCCTCTTCTCAATTCTCATCCTCCATCTTTCTCTGCACCCTTTGACACTGTCGACTACCATCTCTTCCTTGGGTTTTCATGAGACTGCTCTCTTGGTCTCCTACTTGTCTGTGTTGTCTTCCTGTCTCTTTTGATGGGTCCCCCAAGCCTCTGTCCTGGCTCCTCTTCTCTCCTCACTCTACACACTCTGATTTGGTGATCTCATCAGCTCCTTTGTTTTAATTACCATCTGTATTCAGATGATTCCCAGATATATCCAGATCTAGTTTCTCTCCTGAGCTCCAGTACTAGCCATCGCCAATGGCCAAACTGAATGTCCCACAGGTACCTCAAAATCAGCCTAACCAAAACTGAACTCGTCCTCTTTCCCCCCAAACCCTCTCCTCTTCTAAAATGTCCTATTTCTGTCAAGGGAACTACCATCCTCCCAAAGTCACCCAAGTTTGGTGTCAGTTATCTTTTGACGCCTCACTCGCACCACACATCCAATCAGTTGCCAAATCTCATTGTCTCTGCCTCCAAAATATCTCTAGCACACCTCCTCTGCATTCCCAAAGCCACCACCCCAGCATAGGCCCTCATTACCCCTCAACTGGACTATGGCAAGACACTGTTATTTATTCTCCATGTCTCATGTCTCTCTCCAACTCCAGTCATTCATGGTAACAATTTTCTTAAAATGTGTCATCCCCAATTCAAGAAATTCCAGTCAGAGAATAAGGGTGTAAACAGAAAGAGAAGGCGGATAATGAAGAGAATAAGAGAAATCATTTTTTGGAAAGGGATGAAAAACAAATGAAATTTGAAAACTAAGGAACAGGACTACATGAAGGGGAGGAAAGGAAGCGGGGGAATATCGAACAAGAAGAGGGAATCAAGAGTGAGGGGAAGTAAGCCAGTGGGAATAGGGCCCCCTTAGAAAAGATGAAAGTGAAGTAACTGAGGGAACATACTTGTCTACAGCAGAAGAAACTGAAACTGAAAAGCTTCTGCCCAGATAATGTTAATGCATCTAGGATAAGAAGCGAAGGGGTCAAATGGGGGGAAGAAATTCCAGAGGCTCCCTCTTGCCTCTCGAATCAAATTCAAAGTCCTCCATTTGGCTCTGAAAGCTGTTCACAGCTTGGCTTCCTCTTCCCTTTCCTACCTTTTTATCCCTTACTCTCCTTTGTCTGTTGACCAGGCACCTGAGTACATTAGCTCCATGTATGCACGCAGAAGTCAACTACACTTTTTTTTTTTTTTAGGCAATTGGGGTTAAGTGACTTGCCCAGGGTCACACAGCTAGTAAGTGTCAAGTGCTTGCTCTGAGGCTGGATTTGAACTCAGGTCCTCCTGACTTCAGGGCCGGTGCTCTATCCACTGCACCACCTAGCTGTCCCTCAACTAGACTTCTTGAAGTTTCTCATACACAACACTCCATCTCCCACCTCTGTGTCTTTGCACTGGCAGTACCCCTTGCCTGGAATGAACTCGCTCCTCATCTCTGCTTTTGGGAATCCCTGGTTTCCTTTAAGACTCACCACAAATGCTAACACTGTATGACTGACTTCCTCTCCAAGACCATCTCTCTGCTTTAGAAGAAGCCATGTTGTCTCCCTCATTAGAATGTGAGCTTCTTGAGAATAAGGAGGCTTTGCATCCCTAGTATCTGGCACAGTGTCTGGAACATAGCAGGTGCTTAATGAATGCTTGACCTCCACTAGTTAATAAGAGGAAGGGGAAGGGGAGGAAAAGGAATAAGCATTTATTAAGTGTCTACTATGTGCCAGACACTATCCCAAGTGTTTATAACTATTATCTCAGTTTTTCCTCACAATGGAAGGTAGGTGCTATTATGATCCCCACTGTACAAATGGGGAAACTGAGGCAGGCAGAGGTGGAGTGACTTGCTCTGGGTCACACAGCTAGTAAGTATCTGCGGCTGGATCTGAAGTAAGGTTTTTCTGGACCCTGGGCTCAGTGACTCATAGGATTAGGAGCCTGGAAAGGACCTCAGAAATCATCTGCTCTGATCACCCCATTTTACAGGGTGGCACTAACGGTCAGAGGAAGGAGGGCCTAGGTCCTGCCTCCATACGCATTGTGGAGAGTTGGCCGGGACGGAGACTCTCACCTGGCGCGTGAGGCTGACAGTAATCCTGCAGGTCCTCCAGGCTCTGGCACACAAGCTCTGTGAACACTTCACCCACACGGGTCCCTATTGACAGCCGCAGCTCGGGCTGAGTGATTCGACGTGCCCTGGCCCCGATGGGCCTCCGCCCATCCACCAGCACGGCCAGGTCCACCACGGCTCCTCCATGCTCATAGGTGATGGGCGGAGTATCACTCCAGCCACCTGCAATAGAAAATCCCTGGACTCACCGAGGCCCGGGGATCCAACCACCCTGGGTGTGGCGAAGAGAGAACACCCCCACACAGCAGCAGCCCCTGGGGCACAGGATGTAGTTCTTACCGGAGAAGTCCACCCTGGCTGGGCACTCCACCACCACCCAGTGCCCCCGAGGTGGGGGTTCAACTGGCTCCGTGGTGACAAAGCGACAGGCAGACATCACTGCCTGGCGGATAAGGATCTGCTCGGCTCCTTCATAATGCCGAGCAGCTCTCACGAGCAGGGCTGGCCTAGAAACACCAGACGGGAGGAAAAGATCAGAGAATCCTTGAGCTAAGATGGACCTCAGAGGCAACGTAGCACCACCTCTCCTCCCATTACACAGATGAGGATATCACCGGCCCAGGCCCAAGACACTTTGGGTTCTACTCCCCACCTTTTTCTTCCCTTATACAGTAGGAGGTCTGACAAAGTGAAAAAAACAAACAAACAGGGCTACATCATTTGGGGAATGGTATGTAAATGTAATGGAACACTATTGTCCTACTAAGAAATGATGAAAGAGATGGTTTCAGAGAAGCCTGGGAAGACTTGTATGAACAGATGCAAAGCAAAGTGAGCAGAACCAAGTGAACAATTTATGCTGTAACACCAGCATTGGAAAGACAAACAACTTTGTAAGATTTAAGAGCTCTGTTCAATGCAATGATCAACCACAACTCCAGAGGACCAATGATGAAACAAGCTACCCATCTGGCAGAGAGGAAATGGGTTCAGCATTCAAAATCAAAAGTGTTTTTTATATGTGGTCAATGCAGAAATTTATTTTGCTTGACTACAAATAATTATTACCAAGGTTTTTTTTCTTTCTTTTTTTATAATGGGGTAGAGATATGGGAGAGAAAAAAAAATAGATTTTACCTAATTAGAAAAAAACTAAAAAAAAAAGTGGGCTGGGCTAGAAATAAGTGATCTGGGCTCTACTCTGGACCATATGCCCAACTAGCTGATTGATTAGGTCAGTTAATTGACAGGTCAGAGAAATTGTTTCATCATCCATCACACAGAAAAATGCTTTGAAGTATGCAAAATGGAAGCTAGATTGAGGATAGAGGGATAGACAGAGAGACAGATAGATAGATAGATGGATAGATAGATGGATAGATGGATGGATAGAGAGATGGATAGCTAGATCAATCAATAGATAGATGGATGATAGACAAAGGGAGGGAGAAAGAAGACAAGACAGGCAGAGGATAGAGGGAAATAGATGATAGAGGACAGATAGATAATAGATGATAGATATAGATGAAGTGGAATTGACAGATAGACAGATTAGATAAGTAGACAAATAGAAAGACAGTTAGAGCATATGTTAAGCGCTTACTATGTGCCAGGCTCTGTGCTAAGTGCTGGAGATAAAAAGAAAAAACAAATAAGACAGTTCCTGCCCTCGAGGAGCTGAAATTCTAATGGGGAAATCATTCTCATCATTGTTACTATTATTATTAATCATCATTATTCCATCCCCATGAGTGGCTTTCCCCTTCCCATCCCCAAGTTCACCTGCCGAGCCACTTGGTCCTCTCACGGGCAAGCTCTTCCACGCCCCTAGCCACATCCCCTCTCTCCAGGTGCTGGAAGGCCAGGGCCCACTCCTGGTTGGCTGCGGGTCCACTTCGAAGCCCTCCACGGCCCCCGGCCATGCAACCCAGTACATCAGCTACACAGGCCAAGGCCCGGGCGGCCACACCGGGATCTTCAGCCTGAGCTGCAACTACAAGAGGAAATAAGAGTTGGGGGAGGGCCACGAGGACCCCATCACTCCCAGATGGGTACCCAGCAGGCAGAACAGCGGCGACCACCCACAGCGACCCATGACAACAGGCAGAAGCCAAAAAGCTTACTTCCTCCTACCCCCACCAGAGGCTGAGGAGTGAGAGTCTATGCACAGGATTTAAAGAGAATCCCAGAACTGCCCCCAAAATACCACCTCTACCTTCTAGAAATTCCCATCATTTTAGTGGACTAGTGGGTTAAACAAAGCTAGGGAGAGTGTCTCCAGAAGGCACTGGCTAAAATACACATATGCAAAATAAATAAAATTGGAATTTAGTTTTAAAACTAGAAAACAAAACAAAATAAAACATATATCTGCTCCCTAAAATCAGTTAATTGGGGCAGCTAGGTGGCGCAGTGGATAGAGTTTCAGCCATGGAGTAAGGAAGACCTGAGTTCAAATCCGGCCTCAGACATTTGACACTTACTAGCTGTGCGATCCTGGGGGCAAGTCACTTAACCCCAATTGCCTCACAATAAAATAAAATCAATTAATCAACAAACATTTATTAAACAACTATGTGCCAGTCACTGGGGGTTTTCAGCACTGGGTTTTTATAAAGACAAAGCATGAAACTGTCCCTACTCCCCAGAAGGGCACCTTTCCTACCCTATCCATTATTCTAGGTATTAATCAGTCCATGAGATTGACATCCTAAGCTCAAAGGGAAATGCAGGGACAGTCAGGGTTCAAACGAGGAAGGAGGACAGACAAGCCTCAGGATGGATCACAGGAAGGTCTAGGGAAGGGGATCTTAACCCTTGCTATGTCGTGGACCCACTGGGCAGCCTGGCAAATGAGAAGGGGGTGACTCCCACTTCAGAATAAGGCTTTTAAATGCATAAAATAAAACACATAGGGTGACAATAGGCAGCTGGATGGTTCAACGAACAGAGTGCTGAACTTGGCATCTGGAGGACCAGAGTTCAAACCATGCCTCAGATACTTACTAGCTGTATGACCTGGGCAAGTCCTTTAACCTCTGTTGGCCTCAGTTTCCTCATCTATAAAATGGGGATAATAATAGCCCCTACTTCCCAGGGTTGTTCTGAGGTTCAAATGATATAATATTTGTAAGGTGTTTTGCAAATCTCAACGTTCTAGAAAGATGCCACAATTATATTGAAATACAGTTATCAAAATATAGAAAACTTTTAAAAGTTCACAAACCCAAGGACTGGGGTGATAGAGCCTTGGGAGTGGATGCCTGGTATTCTTACAAGGCAATTTCAGCTTCCTCTACAGCATCTGGCCTCAGGTACCCAGCAAATAGGGCAGACTTTCTGGATCCTCCCCTGCAGCAGAATCCCTGCTGTTCACCCACCTCTCAGGGTATAAGCTGGCTCAGGTCGTGTAGATGGAGGGAACCTGGCAGAGAGAGAAGGGGCTTCCCCAGGGGAGCTGAAGGGAGTGGAGACCACGGCAGGCCAGGGTCCACCCTCAGCCAACTGTGAAGGATGCTCTCCTACCTCCCTTCCCCCTCCTCTGCTGCACCCCCTCCTCCCTAACCCATCCCCTGTCTCATTCTGTCGGGCCCCTGACTCTCCTTCCTCCTCTCCTACTTATCAGGTATTCATGGAGAAGCTTTAAAATGTTCCCATCCTTCCCAGAAACAGTCAGGTTTTAATGGAAGATTCCAGAAAAGCTTGAAGTGCAGTAGGAATGAATTTCCAATGACGGGATTTTGGGCACTGTGACAGGTGAGGGGGAAGATGTATTTGGGATGAAAGACCCCTTTTTAGTATACTAAAAATACACACACACAGCCTCAGATGTCCTGAGCTGCCTATGCAAACACCCAGCTAGAGGCCTTCTCCTTCCTCGCCAGCCTCATCCAGGACCAGAAACTGGAAGGAAGAGGTTTTCCATGAAGGCAATGAGGAGCCTGGCAGGAGGGGGAAAAGAAATGTCCAGACCAAGGGTCCTTAACGTTTTGGGTGTCTCGGACCCCACTGACAGTCTGATCAAGTCTACAGATCCCTTCTCAGAATCATGTTTTTAAATGCATGGAATAAAATACATAGGATCACCCAGGAAACCAACTGCTTTTGGTAATATAGGTGTACTTTTTCCCCATCCAAGCTCACCACAGTCCCCACCGACCCCAAGTTAAGAAGGGGAAGGAATAGCTGGGGTCTGAATTCCCTTAAGCCCTATCTACTGGAGTGGTCTTCCAGAGGATGGTCATTTTCCCTGGCTGTCCGCCATGCCTGGAAGGCTCTCCCGGCTCATTTCCACCTCCTGACTTCCTTCAAGTCTCAGCTAAAATCTCACCTTCTACCGATAGCCTTTCCCAGTACCCATAAGCTGGTATTAAACTCTGTTGATTATTTCCAATTTTTCCTGTATATTGAGTTTGTACATAGTTGCTTGCATGTTGTCTTTCCCATTAGATTGGGAGCTGCTTGAGGGCAGGCACTTTCTACCTTTCTTTGTACTCCAGCACATAGCCCAGTGCCTGGCACATAGTAGGTGCTTAATAAAGGTTTACAGACTTCCCTATGGAGGGAATCTAATGATGGAGGACAGGAAATCTTACTCACCCTGGTCCAGTGTCGTCAGCAGCAGCCCATGGCACCCCTCATGGGTGGCAGCCCTGATCAGCGGCAGCAGGCTCTGGTCCTGACGCCCCTCCAGCACACGCCGCACCTTCCCCTGGGCCTGCTGGAAGAAGAGGGTCCGGCGAGAAGCCAGCGTGGCAACCTGGTCCAGGTGGAGCTGAACCTGCTTCCAGGACATGCGCCAGGCGGCTCTCCACGCCTGGAGGGAGTCTCCACCTCTGGACCCCAGCAGCCAGAGCACATCCTGTGGGTCTGGGGACCGGGAGGCAAAGAAGACCGGGAAGAGCCGAGCGGTGAGAAGGCAGCGCTCTCCTGGTGGGGCATCCGTGTCCCATATGTCGCCATCCCTGATGCAGGGCAAAGACGAAGATCAGAGGGTCATGAGAAGGTGAGGGGGTCCACTCCCAACTCGGCCCCCTCCACCAGGCCCAGGGTGCAGGGTGACCGGGGAGAGCTGGAAGGTCCTTGGGACAGAAGGTCAACACGAGGACCTTATTCCATTTGATAGGATGTCACTAGGGGTGCAGAGCCATAGGTTAGGATTAACCACTGTCAGCCCACCTTGGCAAAGGGCACATTGTCACCACCACCACCCTAGCCAAGGGGAAAACGTTCAAGTCCATCCCTAGGCCAAATGACAGGGGAAAGGGAACACGAGGGACAAGGGGAGGAAACCAGGCCTGCCTAGGTAATATGGAATGGTCCACATGGCAGGGGAAAGGGAATACGAGGGACAAGGGGAGGAAACCAGGCCTGTCTAGATAATATGGAATGGTCCACATGGCAGAGGACCTGACTAAGATTTCAGGAACCTGGAGTTCATGGCATAGGATGGGGAGAGGGTAGGTGGCACCCGGGTTCCTGAGATGGGAGGATTCTCCAGTGGGAAGTGCTCTTGTACCCCCATGGAGTCATCCAGGCCTTCTGGCTACCTCAGTGGATCCCATGGCCCTCACCGGATGCCTGTCCTCTGGAAGAACTCAGTCCAGGGCACATTGAGATACGTGCCCTTCCCCAGCGCTGGGCTCTGGAGAGGACAGAGATGGGAAGAGTCAAAAGAACACAACTGGAAAGTAGTGGAGGTGAAGGTGGCAAAGGCAGAAAGGGGATGGAGATGAGTAACCAATCAGCCCCAGGCTGGGGAATAAAGGAGTCCAGAGGCAGGAAGCAGGGCTCCAACGATCCACTCTATCCACTTCACCTCATTGCAGGCCCTGATACCTATCTTTGATAAAAGGCCAATTTGTGGGTTCCCTGGCCAACCTCAGTGATAGGGATGGCCCCTAACAGGTGGAGTGAGAAGATTTTTAGGAATAAGGAAAGGATCTTCTTTCTCACTCCCTGCCCGCTGGAGATGAAAGAACTGGATTAAAGTGAGAGGCCCCGGGTTCGAATCCTAGCTCTGGTCATTACTAACTCCATAAGCTTGGGCAGGCGATGTAACCTCCCCGGGTCAGTTTCTTCATCTATAGAAAGCAGGGATTGGCGCAGACGATCTCTAAGGTTCCTTCTGGCGCTAACGCTCTATGACCTTTGGGTCTCAGAGAGCAGCGGCACCAGGCAAGGCCCTACCTGCCAGTCGTCTCGGCGCCCAATGAGAGTGAACACCCGGACGGAGGTGTTCTGCAGCTGGATGTGATGTCCTTGGAGGATGACGTCGTGCAGCGCCAAGCCACGGAGGGCGCTGGAAGAAGCTCTGTCCAGCCCGAGCAGGAGGCACCCAGGGCCAATGTGGATGGGACCCTGGTTGGGAGAGAAGGAGTGGGGAGGTGGCTGCTGGGACTGGCCCCAGGGATAGGAAGAACCAAGGTCAGAGGCGCCGGAGACTATTGCAATGGCCTCCTGATTGGTCTTCTGACCTGGCCTTGCCTCTCTCCAATCCATCCTCAACAAAACCGCCAACATTCTACTCCTCAAGCACGAGTGCGAGCCCGTCACTCCCCTGCTTGGAAAGCTGCAGTGGCTCCCAATGACCTCTAGATAAAATATGAACATGGCTGTTTGGCAGGTAACACCTTTCCCAATAGAGAGCTCCAGCCTGCCTTACCGGGTGGATTGTGCATGACTGTCATGACTTTAGGTGGGTACAATAGTGACCAGGGATGGGGAACTTTTGGCCTCGAGGCCACAGGTGGCCTTCTAGGTCCTTGAGTGCGGTGTCCAGGTTTTACAGAACAAATCCTTTTATTAAAGGGATTTTTATATATTTTTATATGTTAAAGGACCTGAGGCCAATGATATTCAGAGGTGCCAATCTCGGCCTTTAGGGCCCAGAGTATCTGATGCTCAGGCTGTTCAAACAGCCTTTACAGACAGTAAGCACTTATTAATTGTTCACTGAATAAGAAGTTTTTTTAATTGAATTTGGCTGCCCTGCTGGCTCATTTCCTAGGCCCTTCTCTTTGCCCATGGACCTCCCTCCTTTTCTCTTTCTTCAGACAACCTGAGGTGACAGGGAGAAAGGGGCTCCCCTTCCTCAGTCTCCTCTACCTTCTTGGACAAATCTGTTCATTGGGTGGAACATGAGATAGACAGGAGGCGCCCTCAGGGTCTGGGGTGAAGGGAAATGGGGAAAGAACAGCTTTTACCTGGAGTTGGCAATGTTGAATCACACTCCCAGGGCCCAGGCGAACCTCTCCCTCCAACAGACTATTGACCACAGAGCAGCCGGCTTCTAAGAACTGAGGCTTCTGCAAAGGCAGGAGGGAAGGAAACAAACCTGGGCCTGGGAAGGTTATTTCCACCCAATCCCTCTCCTGCTCAAAAGCCTCTCTGGCTCCCTACTGCCTACAGGGTCAGGTCTCAAATCTGGACCTACCTGACCTCTCCAACCCTGTCTCCTGGTGCTTCCCCCGACCCACCCACCACACATACGCACATACACACCATGCCCTCATCTCACCTCAGCACCTTTGCTCATGCTCTTATCCTAGCCCAGACTGCTCTGTCCCTTCCTCTCCAAATGTTCCAACCCTATCTACCCATCCTTCAAGGCTAATCTCAAGTCCTACCCTCGGGGAAGCTTTTCCTGATGACTATCATAAGATGTCAGAAGAACTGGAGATTTATCCAAGACAAGCCTCTTATTTTACAGAGAAGGAAACAGAGGCTCAAAGGAGGAAATGACTTGCCGAGGTAACACAGCGAATTAAGAAGCAGCCCACGACGAACTCTTCGGAATTCCCATGACACTCAGAGGCTATACCACTCATCTGACATTGCAATATATCATGTCTAATAAGGGAGGTATGTTTGTGTATGGGTGTTGACTCCCCAACTAAACTGTAAGCTCTCTGAGGGCAGGGGCCATGCCTCTTTTCTTCTGTCACCTACTATGGCGGGGCACAGGGTGATTGTTATTGTTTATCCTTTGTTTTAGAAGAAGACCAATGTCGTCACAATGATGTCAACTTTCTCATGAATTGGATTCGATTGAGGCAGAGTCGTCTCCCTCACTCTTTCTTCCAGAGTCATCAAAGTCCAGTGGCAGGACAAAAGTCAGGATGGCTGGCGATGGCCTGAGATGCAGGGGTGACCTTGGTGTCCTCCATGTTTGACCAAGCTCTAAGCGCTCCACAGCTCCTGTGTCAGCCGCGTTTGTGGCCATTGGAACAAACTGTTCTCAGCCACCCGTTTCACCGGGGGAAGCCTTCACGTGCTGGGGTAGACACTCCCCTAACTCCCTAACGGGTTTGACGCCTGTCAGTTGCCCTCACCCTGGTTTAGCCCATCTGCCTGGCCAGTTTCAGCAGGGTGTGGCCGCTGTGCACGCTACAGCTTCTGAGAGCCACAGGTGAGAGTTGGGGGACAGGTGGAACCAAAGGTGGATAAGCAGCCCTGAAAAGGGCTCAGCAGCCCTCACACTAGAGGTGCCAGTCCTTCCCGAGTACCCCACACACCCTAGGTACAGGGCACACACTCAGTCACTTTGCATTGACAGGGATGAACAGGGAGGGAAGGCACACTCACCTCCACCTGAGAGTGTACAATTTGGGCAAAGAGGTGCCGGGGGAGCGTCAGGCTGCGGAGGTGGGCACTGGCCGATGAGGTCATGTACTCGTAGGTACCGTCTGGGATGTATGCTGTGGAGACACAGACCCTCGGGTGTGTATGGGTGGCAGGAGGGTTGGGTGGGAAAGATATAGCCCTTACCTCGAGCAGTATCTGCTGCCGCTAAGGGCCCAAACCAGCCCCCTAGGACAACGTAGAACTAAGGCTGGATGACCAGACCTTGTAAATGAAAAGCGAAGGCTATGAAATGACACAATACCTGTAAAGCACTTTATAAACCTTAAAGCACTGTGTACACTATTATATTATTGTTATTATTCACAGGATTATTCTTATTATTTTATTTTATTATTATTATTCATGGGATGCCACCTTCCCCCTTCCACCCGCTGCCTCTGCTTAGACCAGGGGTTCTCTTTTTTTGTGTAACCTAGACCCCTTTGGTGAAAGTCTGGAGAAGCTTTGTACCCCTCTTCAGAATCATGTTTTAAAATATATAAATTAAAATATGCAGGATACAAAGGAAAACCAATGTTAGTGAAAATAAAGATGTAAATTCTTTTTTTCCCATCCAGGTTTGTGGACCCCCAGAAATCTATCCCAGGTTAAGAACCCCTGGGCCATTTCTGGGACATCACAGCTCCCCTTCCACAAAGGCAAAAGGCTACGATGTCACTGAGGAAGGAAAGAATTGGGCCAATTCTCTGGCTCATCGGGATGCATTCCGGGAGGGCCATGGTACAGTGGCAGACATTTACAGAGCTGAGAGTTGTATAGAGCACTTCAACCCTCTGGCAACTCACAGCCCCTCAGTGAAGTAGGTACGGCAAACATCACCATGCCCAATTCACAGGTGAGGAAACTGAGGCTCAGAGGCAAAGTGATTTTCCTGTACTCAGCCAACTAGTAAGTATAAAGGATGGGATTTTAATCCAGGTCTTTAGGACACCAAACCCAGTGCTCTTTCCACTACAGCCCAGAAAGCATTGCCCTTTGAGCACCATCTGCCCATTCGATTCATAAATCAGCAGTTTCTGTTGGAGGGTATCCAAACAAGGGCACACAGTAGGCACTTAATAAATGGCTGTTGGCTGACGGACACTGTTTCAGCCAAGAGGCTAAGGGCAAAGGAAAGGAGAGATTTCATTCCTTGCAAAGTCTCCTTTAATCGACTAGCATTTATTAAGCAACTACTATGTGCCAGGCACATTTGTAGCCCCCAGCTAAGTGCTGGGGGCTACAAATAAAATCCTCAAGTAGCTCACAGTCTAAGGCGGGGGAGGCAACATGCAAACCACAAACATATATTCAGAAGAGGTGGTAGGGAACCTTAAAGATGAAGGCACCAACAGTTGGAGGGAATGGACAAGATCTCCTAGAGTGGATAAGCTTTGGGCTGAGTCTTGAAGAAGGCCAGGGAAACTAACAAGGGGAGGTAAGGGGAGATGGCATTCCAGGCAGGAGGTACAGACACTGCAAAGGTATGGAGACTGGGATGGAGGGTCATGTTTCAGCAAGAGGTGTGGTGTAACTGGATCAGACAGCATATAGAAGAGGGGAGCGTGTAAGAAGACAAGAATGGTAGGGAATCTCCTAAAAGGGCTGTGGTTTCCTGCCATAGCCCATCCAGCCCTCTCAGCGCTCCCCGATCCCTAGGAAGGATCAAAGTAGACTTAGGTCACACCCACCAAGGCTAAGAGGCTGGTCCCGGAGCTCCTTCCACAGCACGGCCCGTGCATTCCGTTGGCCCCTCGTTTGGTCCATGTCGCCCTGACCCATCTCAGCCAGAAAGCTCTCATGGTTCACATCCCGTGCCATGCACAGCAAAATGTCAAAGAATAGGGACAGCTATGGGCAAGGAGTTAGAGAAGTTAGAGAAGTTAGTTAGAGTTAGAAAAGTCACAAACTGGTCAGGGGACCCCAGAAAAGTCCCCAGTCTCAGCCTAGATCAGCCACAGACCAGGGTGGGATGGGGAAGGCTGCTGAGTATTAGCAACGTCTACAGCCATATCACAACAGCCATGTCTACCCATCTTGGCTCCCCAGCAAATAGGGATAGTCAGGTCGGTGTCTGGGCATATTTAGGATGAGATGAAAACAGTGCTGCCATATTCTTAGTACTAAGCCTCCTCCACTGGGCTCCCCCATTCAGTAGTCTCTCAGTAACAGCTCTGAATGGGCACAGGGAGCTTAGAGGAAGGATAAACTCTATGGGGACGACTTTTGTGATATCACTGCCTCACCACTCAAAAAGAAGAGACAGACACACAGGGAAAGAGAAAGGAAGAAGAGAAAAAGAGAGAAGGAAGGGAGAGAAAGGAAAAGAGACAGAAACAGAGAAAGAGAAGAGAGAAGAAAGAGAAATAAAGAGATTGAGAAAGAGAAAGAAAGAAGGAAGTGGCGAGTGAGAGAGAGATGGAGAAAAGAGGTGGGAGAGAAAAAGAGAGAAAGAAAGAAAGAAAGAAAAGTAGAGAGAAAAAGAGAGAAGGAAGGGAGAGAAAAGAGAAAGAAAAAAGGAGGGGAAGAGAAAGAAAGAGATGGTGAGAAAAAGAAAGAAGAGAGAAAAAAGAGACCAAGAAGTAAAGAGATGGTGAGAAAAAAAGGAAAAGAGAAAAAAGAGACAGAAAGAAAAGAAAGGAGGGGAAGAGAGATAGAGAAAAAAAGAGATGGTGAGAAAAAGAGAGAAGGAAGAAAGAGAAAAGATAAAGAAAAGAGAGGGAGGGACAGAGAAAAAGAAGAAGGTAGAGAGGAGATAGAGAAGATGGAGGAGCAGGGCCACGGGGGATTTACCTGGAAAGGCTGGGCACCAGAGTCCAGGCCCATGTAGGTGCAGGCGTCTAGCGGTGGTGAGACGTGAGTGGCCAGGAGTCGCTCAGCAATTTCCACAGAGAAGAAAACGATCCCGGAGACCTGGAGGAAGAGCAGGGATTGATGAGCGACGCCCCGGAAATGGAAAAGGGGAATGGACTGAGCTCAGGTGAAGGTGGCCAGGGTGGTCCTGCCTCACTGCCAGCCTGCACTGGCTCCTAATGATCTCTCTGAGCCTCGGTTTTTTGCCCTATGACATGGGAATAGTAATCCCTGTGGAGGCTGTGCGGGTGAAATGAGCTGTTCTGTTCTGTTCAATTGTTTCAGTCATGTCCGACTGTCCACGGCACCATTTGGGGTTTTCTTGGCAGAGATACTGTAGTGGTTTGGATTTCCTTCTCCAGCTCATTTTACAGATGAGGAAACTGAGGCAAACAGGGTTAAGTAACTTGCCCAGGGTCACACAGCTAGGCTCAATTTGAACTCAGGAAGAGGAGTCCTCCTAACTTCAGAACCGGCACTCTGTGCACAATGGTGCCACCTAGCCACTAGTGCACAAAAAGCCCTTTGCAAACTCCCATGACAATCCTGAGACCCGTGCAAGGATTGTCCCCATTTTGCAGATAAGGAAACCGAAGGTCACAGCGGACACATGGTTGTTGAGGGTCAGAGCTGAGATCCCAAGCCCAGGTCTCTCCAGACTCCCAAGCCCAGGTCTCTCCAGACTCCCAAGCCCGACGGTCCTCTCTCATACCAGCGGCACTTTCCCATCGGGTCTCACGCACTGCTGGATCTGGACCTCTGAGCCCCGGTAGAAAATGTTACAGACCAAGCCCTGTATCAAAGGAAGAGGAAGCAGCATTGTAACTGGGGAGAGCTGGGAAGTCAGACCCCTAGCCTCCAGCCAAGCAGGTAAGATGCTGGGTAAGGTGGAGAATCGGAGGCAGGCAGACCCTCTCCCTGGAAATTACCCTTGGGGTAGAGGAGTATGGAATGAGGGCAAATGGTCTCTCAGAAACTCCCCAAACGTTCTAGAATGGCAGGTGTACAGTAGGGGCTGGTGGCAGCTCTGGGGCGAGAGAAAGGGACAGAAGGCCTTGAGCTGAAAAGTTCCACTGGGGACCCCGGAGGCCCTCCTTCTCCTACCACAACCTTGGGTCCACCCTAGTATCCTGGGGGCAGGGGGTACCTGGGAGTCAGTGAGGTAGACCCCATGGTCCTGGGCATAGGTCACACTACCAGGCAGAGAGAACACCCTGGCTCCTCGGAAGTCATCCCAGCAGACCTCTAAGGAGAAGGGAAGCTGGCTATTCAGTAATGGCAATGGTTCAAAAAAATATTCACAGATTTTTTTTTTGTATCAACAGTCAGTCAACTCTCATTTATTAAGCACCTACTATGTGCCAAGAGCTGAGGATACAAAGAAAAGCAAAAAAAAAAAAATCCCTGCCCTGAAGGAGCTTCCAGTCTAATAGTAGTAATGGTAGCAAAAAAAAAAATCATCTAGAAACTCAAAGGGTTCCCATCTATTGGGGAATGGCCAAAAAAAAGGACAGTAAACGAATGTAATTATTGTGCTGTAGGAAATAAAGAAATGGACGGATTCAGAGAAATCTGAGAAGACTTGTATGAACTGATGCAGAATGAAGTGAGCAGGACCTGAGGACTCTATGAAGGACCAGTAATGCACCTCCTTATAGAGAGAGGACAGACTCCAGATGCGAGAAAAAGACAGGCATTTTCGGACGTGGTCAATGTGGCGATTTGCTTTGCCTGATTATGTATATTTGATGTAAGGGTTTGTGATTCTTTTGTGGCTGGTGTTCAGTTTTGTGTTTTTAAGGGGAGGAAGGTAAGAGGGAGAAAGTAAATTCTTATTGACTGAAAAAAAATAATAAAGCCGTGCTTGATATGAGGCTCTTTGGCAGGCAGGAGGAGATATAGGGGGAAATTGAGGTGATGTAAAAACAAAAACAAAAAAAAATAAAATTTTCTTTAAAAAGTGATAGTCTTAATAAGTAGGGAGAAGGAAGTAAAGGGAGGGAGAGAATTTAGAACTGAAAGTAAAACTTAAATAAATATACAAAAGTGATAGTCAAGGGCCCTTGGGCTCATGTGGAGATTCTCAGTAAAAGAGGGGACCCTAGCACTGACAGTTGACGAGGTAACCCCACCACATATCTTTCAGAAAGAAAAGATTTCCTCCATAGGGATAGTGTAATGAGGCTGAGAATGTGGGGAGTAAAGAAAGAGAAGAAAACAGTAGTGCCATAGCTTGGGATGGGGGCAATGTGTTGTCCTTGGCTCTGCTAAAGACCCCAGGCCAATCTCAACCTGAAAATCCACTTACCTGGGCTTGTGGGAATAGAGAGAATCATGTCTGTGCTGCAGACCCATACACCTGGCGGGGAGCCACGGCCCAGCTGGAAGACAGAGCACAGCTCATGGGCAGGCCACCCCAAATGGATGAGGATGGAGAGTGGGGCTTGAACGCTCCCTTCCTTCCTTTCCCGCTCCATCCCCAACTGACTGTAGCTACCTCTTGGACTCTGACCCACTCTAGCCCTTGGCCTTGGAGAATGCTAAAGAACATACAAGGTCTTCCAGTTCTGCTGGAGGCCATCTTACCCAATGATAATGGAAACTGGTTAACTCCTGTCCAGCTGCCTCTGACTTCACATAGATCTGATGAAATGTAGGGAAGCCAGCACCAGATTATCCAACCACCTCCTAACCCTGGATGTCCTCTAGCAAGTAAGCCCTCCTTGTGGAAGGGGAATAGAACCAGAATTTATTAGCATGACCATTGCTCTAAATACTTTACAAATATGGTGTATGCCTGGAGCCGTCCCCATGGGCTCACTACACCCTGATTCATGACAGGGTGAGGCAGGGGGTACAGGGAAATTTCAGGGAAGGAGAAAGCCCTTGGGGTGAGCACTCAGATGAGCCCAGATGAGTCTGACCCCAAGCCAGGCCTCACCTTGTGGGTCATGATGTATAGCAGCACATCCAGGTTACAGGTGAGAGACTCCACTCGAGCTGTGGGGTCCACCAGCGGGAGGCATGTGAAAGCTCGGCCACAGTCGTCAAAGGGGAAGTCTCGGCCCTGGAGAAGGAATGAGCTGAGCCTGAGAGGAAGCAGGACTGAGTCCAGGGAGAGACTCGGTTGCCCTTTGGGTGGAGGGAAGGCAGAAAGGAGAGTAAGAAGGCAGGGCTTTCTCCACTCACCTCCCCATGTGGGCCATTTCTCTTCACGGGAGAGGGAAGTCCTTACTCCTGTCATCCCCCTCCTCAAACCCAGATTTCTGGTGGGGATTTCAAAGTCTTTCCTCTGACTGTTGGAGATCCTCTTCTCTCTCCTTCTTCCTGGGCAGAATTCTTTGGGATCATTTACCTGCAACCCTTGTCTCTGACTAATTCCCTTTTTACATCTCTCTCCTTACTCTTTTACCAGTGGGTTCTTCTCCCCAGTGCAAGGCAGGCCAGACCAGTCTGTTACATCAGTCCCAAAGCCCGGCCCAGTATCTGTCTGGATCAAAAAATATACCCCCCCCAGACAGGTGATCATGTTTTGCCCAGGCCCATTCAGACAGGCCTCTGGGGCTGGTGGAACAAGGGGGCCTTGTTCTTTCTCCTGTTTTCTAGGGTCCTCTAGCTCCAAACAGCCTTCACCTGACCTCGAGGAATCCAAAACTAAGACACCAGGCTGTGAATCCCTATCCTTTTCAGTCAATCAAGGTTGGCGTCTTTATTTTCATGAACATATTTGACTCTTGATTCCCTGGATGGAGGCGAGAAATAGCCTGGATAACACAGAACCATGGATAATCCAAAAATCCTTTGTGCGCGACATTGGAAATGTTGCCTATTTTCCCCTCTTTGAAAGAGAGAAGACTTTATTTATTCTGGCATATTTGAGTGGATATTAAATTGAATCTGGACCATTCAGGTGCTCAGAAGCCCTCTCTCTAACCAAGAGGATGATTAAGACAGGAGTGTGCAACGTGGTAGGGGGAAGCCAGCCTGAGACGAAACATTTTATTCAACACATCTAAGGCTCCTGAATCACCCAGGGCTGTGTGTTTGCCTCAGCATGGTCTTTAAATGTCCCTCATTGCAGATGGGGAAACATAAGAGGCAGGGGCTGCCTTGAGGAAAAGTGGGGCTAGAAGCCAAAGTCCCCAATTCCCTGTCTCCATCCCTCCTCTCTTTCTCTCCCTCCCTCTTTTTCTCTTCTCCCTCCTTCTCCTCTCTCCTCCTCTCTCTCTTCCTTTATTCCTGTCCTTCCTCTCTGTCCCTCTCTCTCTCTCTTCCCGTCCCCTAGCTCTCAATCACACCACTGAGCCTTCTCCTTATGCCCAGATGGCCATCTATAGCTTCATCTATTCCTGAGGTTCATAACCTTATTTGTGCCCCGGACCCCCCTGGCACCCTGATGAAGCCACCTCAGAACGTTTTTAAATGCATACAATGAAACTATATAGGATTACAAAGGAAACCAATTACATTGAATTAAGATATAATTTTTTCCCGCCCAAGTTCACGGACCTCCCGAAATCTATCCATAAACATACACCCCTAATGTAGTGTGTCCTCCCTTTCTCCTCCACCACTCACCATGTGCATGATAAGTATCCGGGCAGAATGCAGGACGTCAGAAGTGACCACCTATGGGAAAATACATCAACAAGGAGCCTCAGACCTAGGCCTCACCTTTGGACTGCTTCCCACTTCTACCTGACACTCTTACCCCAAGGGCCCCCAAACACAAGCATGGCAAGAGGCCGGAGCAACTACATAGGGACTCAGGAAACTCACTTGTCCCTGGCTTCTGTGACACTGCTCTTTCCTCATTCTCCAAGCCCTCTGACCGCTCCTTCTCCATCTTTCTTGCCGGATTCTCCTCCTCATCCTGCCTAGTAAGAGTGAGTTTCTCCCAAGTGGCTTCTGTTCTCCTCTCCTGCTATATTGTCTCCCTTGGTGGTATCATTGGCTCCCATGGGTTCCATTTTTATCTCCAGGCAACTTGGTGCCACCAGGGACAGAGTACCGGACATGGAGTCAGGCATATCCAAGGTCAAACCCTGCTCTAATGCCTCACTAGCTGTGTGACCCTGGGCCAAATCATTTTATTTTCTCAGCCTCAGTTTTCTTTTCTGTAAGATGGCGATAATTACATCTCATTGGGTTGTTGTGAGGTTCAAATGAGATGACACATGCTAAAGTGCTTTGCAAACCTTAAAATGTTCTATAAATGCTACCATATGACTGCCAACTCTATACATCCAGCCCTAATCTCTCTCCTGAACTCTAGACCCAAATTACCAACTGCCTGCTGAGTATCACCTAGATGTCCCAAAGGCATTGCAAATTCAACACCATATTTCCATCTCAGACTATTCTTCTTCCCCCGAGGCCTGTCCTTCTCTCAAAGTCCTCCACTGTTCTGTTGATGCCCTCACCATAAATCTCACAAGCCTGGAATCATTCTTGATTCTTCACGGTCCCTCACCTCCCCCCGCCCCAACACACAACCACATCCAGTCACATTGGCCAGGTCTTAACTATCCTACCTCCACAATCTTTCTCGTATCTGTCTTTCTCTACCCCACATAGCCTCCTAGTCCAGACCCTCATCTCTCACCTAGACTAGTTCATCTCCCCACCTCTGTCTCATTGCTGTCTGCATCACCCTTCACACAACCACCAAATTGGTAGTCTCAAAATGGATCCAATCATGTCATCCTTCTTCAGAAATGTTCAATGACTCCCTGTTACCATTATTTCAGAATAAAATCTGAAAATCTTTCAACCTGGTATTTAAAGCCTCAGCTTGATAATTAAAATCTGTCACTTATTTTCCTATTCTTTTGTCTTTCTTCATTTTATTCCCTTTGACACACTTTCCATTCCAGTCAAAAATGACCCACCAACTATTTCCTGTATATTCCATCTCTTGTCTCTGTATCCTTGTGCAAGTGGTCCCTGGGCTGGAATGTACTTACTTCTTACCTCTGCTGCATGGAATCCCTAGCGTCCAGTCGGCTCAGATACCATCTTCTACACGAGAACTTTCTTAATAGCACCCACCACCGTTTTCAGTACTACTTTTGTTCTCTCTCTCTCTCCCCCTCTGTTTTCTCTGTCTTCTCCCTCTTTCTCTCTTTTCTGTCTCTTCTCTCCATTTTCTCTTTCTCTTCCCTCCTCTCTTCTCCCTCTTTCTCTCTTTCCTGTCTCTTCTCTCCATTTTCTCTCTCTCTCTCTTCCCTCCTCTCTTCTCTCTCCCTCTTTCTCTCTTTTCTGTCTTCTCTCCCTTTTCTGTCTTCTCTCCCTTGTTTTCTCTCTCTCCTCTCCTCTCTTCTCTCCCCTCCTACCCCCTCCTTTTCTCCCTCTCATCTTCTATCACTCTTTATATACTTACATATGTATACACTGCATCTCTCCCACAGAGTGGAAGTCCTTAAAGACTAGGTCTGCTCCCTTCTTGTCTTGTATTCTCAGTGCCTGCCAGGCACAGTACCTTATATACAGTAGGCGCCTAATAAATGTCTGTTGAATTGAATGGAAATGAACCAGCAAAAATAAAGACAGTTCATCCTTCACATGTACGTGACGGTATGCTAATACAACTCTGTAGGGAGGTAACAGGAATTATTATTATCCCCATTTTATAGATGAGGCCTAGAGTTTAAGTGACGTGCCTAGTTCCACAGCTAGTTAAGTGGCAGAGCTGGGACTCACACCCAGTCTCCTGAGTCCATGGTCAGTATTTTTTCGACTACAAGAATGACCCCTAGGATTTTGCCCCCTTGATATCTGGGCTGCTCCCACATCTATTATCTCACTGATACTCACATCTCCATTAGGTAAGTAGGAAAAGACTGTCATACCCATTTTACACATGAGAAAGCTGAGGCCCAAGACTGAAGAACTGGTCTTGTTCAAGGTATCCCACAGACTAAGTGGAGGGACCAGAACCATAACCCATTTCTCTGAACTTGGGCCCAGGATTTCTTCCACCGGACCGGCAGCGGTGGGGAGTAGGGGGGTAGTGTTGAACTCACCGTGTAGCCCGCCTGGGCACTCAGGTGCTCTGCAGCCACCAGGAGGGCATTTAGTGTGGCTCCCCCACTGCCCACTTGGGCCTCAGGATCTTCCACTGTGAGCAGGATGGTTCGCCGCGGCACCTGCTCCCGCTTCTGCCGCACCTCCAGCTCTGGAACCAAACGGAGGCGGCATCACATCATCCTCCCCTGCCCCACACCTCCAGGCAGCACTCTGGCTCATCTTCTCCCAGTGGGACTACTCCTGCCCCACAAAAATGTGCTGCAGCAAAAAAATGTCCAAAGGTTTATCTTTGTCACCGCTCCACCCAAGGAAGGTCTGTTGGTTTGGAGGGCGAATCTTCAGATTTATGACAGGATCAGAGGAAATCTTGATGGAAAAACACTAAAGGACTAAGTTCTCTGCCCCAGACCTTGCTAGCATGAGAGATAGGATGGGATACAATGGGATGGAACGAGATGAGATGAAACAGGATGGGGTGGGATGTGATGGGATGGGATAAGATGGGGTAGAATGGGGTAGGATGGGATGAGATGAGATGAGGCGATATGGGGTGAGAGGGATGGCGCTGAGGGGGAGGCTAGAGGCTGGCCTGGAGGGAGGACACCAGCACTGAGGGTGCTCCAAACATCTGGCTGTTGCAAGACTAACTTCAAAGCTCACCCTCTCTTCCCCAGCCTTCCAGAGCCCTTTGTCACCTGTTCCAGACCAGCTGGCAGCAAAGCAGCTCTTCCAAGCTGGCTGTTAATTAGTGCCCTCCTCCCACCCCAAGACTACTTTGTAGTGAATCTGTGTATATTTTCTACTTAAGTATTTGGGCTTATATTTTGTATTTAATTCTCTAAAAGGCAAATGTGGTAGGATGAAGAAATCTGGTTTCCAAACCAGGGAGAGCCCAGTTAAGTATCACCTCCCACACACCCTAGCTGGATAAGTCTCTTAACCTTTCAATCCTCTAGGCTAACGGTTTTCCGAGAGAGGTTTACAGACTCAAGGGGCTCCCTGAAAGCTTTTCGGGGGGGATGTGAGGTCAAAACAGTTTCCATAATACTAAAATGTTTTCGTTTTTTTTTTTTTAAGGCAATTGGGGTTAGGTGACTTGTCCAGGGTCACACAGTTAGTTAGTGTCAAGTGTTTAGTCTGAGGCTCGATTTGAACTCAGGTCCTCCTGACTTCAGGGCTGGTGCTCTATCCACTGCACCACCTAGCTGCCCATATTTTCATTTTTAATGTGGCAAATATTGATAGCTGTAACTCACATAAACAAAAGCTCTTTGGGAATGGGGGTCCTCGGTAATTGTTAAGACTGCAAAGGGGTCCTGAGGCCAAAATGTCTGAGAACCACTGAGATGCACAAAGATAAAGATGCAGAGAAGACACTGCCCTCTGATTGGTAGAATCACCAGGCCTCCCTCATACAGGAAATCCCAGGTCCAGACTCATCCCTTAGCTGAGCAGATTCGTGTAGCAGGGTTTCCTCCCAATAGAACGTAAGCACCTTGAGGCCAGGGGCTGTCTTGTTTTTGTCTCTCTAGCCCTTATTGTTATTGTTGTTATTGTCCAGTCAGCGGATCAGTTTTCTTGGCAAAGATACTGGAGTGGTTTGCCATTTCCTTCTCCAGTGCGGCCCCTTTTTACAGATGAGGAACTGAGGCAAATAGGAGTGAAGTGACTTGTCCAGGGTCACACGGTTACTAAGTGTCTGAGGTTGGATTTGAACTCAGATCTTCCAGACTGTAAGCCTGGTGCTCTAGCCACCGCACCACCCAGCTGCTTCATCTTTCTAGCCCTACCACCCAGCAACACAGACTGACCTGAAGGAGGTTCTTAATTAATGTTGAATGAGAATGGGCCAGTAATCCAAAAGAGGATGGCTAATCCGCAATGACTACTAGCAGCCATCCAGGCCTGGGGCTGGGTGTGACAGAACTCCTCAGGCAGACAGAAGCCGGTGGAGCACTGCAGTCATGATTCGCAGAGGGAATCCAGAGCTCAGGGTTCCGGGCTGAGCGCCTCAGGACCACGGCCATCACCTCCCCTGCCTTACAAATGAAGGGCATCTCCCCCACAGGTAAATGCCAAATGCTAAGATGGTCCACCTTCCTACGAAGCAAGAGATCAGAGCTCTCTAAGGCTGAGGCCATCAGGTGCAACCACTGCAGGTTACAAATAAGAATGGAGGCTCAAGGGAAGGGAAGTGGATGGCCCAAGGTCACAGCTAAGGAGCCTCAGAGGTAGGATTTGAACCCAGATCCTCTCACCCTAGAGCCAGGGCTCTTTGCATTGTGTGAGGCTGCCCCTTGTGGGATCTGTCTTCACATCAGGCTGTTTCGGGGGAGAAAGGATGTGCTGAGGAGGCCTGGAGATCGAGGCTTCCTGAGGGGGCTGCTCCACCCTATCCCACCCCCAACATTAGGGAGAAGACAGACAGACCTAACCTTGGAGAAAGGCTCCCCTGAGGCCCCACCCCAAGCTGGGGGAAAAGGAAGAGCTGACTGCTTAGCATAAGCCCCCTGAAGAAGGGGGCTGGGAACCCCTGCCGGTCTCAGCCAGGTCCCCCATGGTGTACCTCCCAAGTCAGGACCTTCTTTTCCCTTTGGGACACACGAAACATAGCTTCACACTGCTCTGACACGCTTGTCACGCACTATACTGTTCTGTTTACGTCTCCCTCCTTAGACTAGAAGCTTCTTGAGGGCAGAGGCCCTCTCTTGCCTCTTTTTGTATCCCTAGTGCTCAGCACACACAGTGCCTGGGACATAGCAGGTGCTTAATTAATGCTTATTAATTGACTGATTCCCCTCCTAGACTGCAAAGTCCATAAAGGCATGAACCCTGCCTTATCTCAATCCCATATCTCCCCCAGTGCCTAGGATGGTGCTCTACATATGTGTGTACACCCATAAGTGTATATTACTGTTTCTAATCCGCACAGTGATGTGAAGTGTCCAAGGGGTGCCCTCTTCCCTGGCCCTACTAAGGGACATGGAGGTGCTGGACTTGTTCCCTGGGGGCTGTCAGAAATCAGAGTGGGCGGCAGCCACCTACCTTTCTGAAAGGCATAGACACTGTGCTTGTACTGACATGTCAGCACAATGACGGTCCAGTCGACACCCTGCCAAGGCTCCATCCCAGCTGGAGGCCCTGGCTGCATGACCTGGGAAGAGAAGGGAGACTGGATTGAGGTGAGAGCTTCCCTGGGCTTCTTGGCAACAGGATCTTTAGAGCTAAGGAAATAAATCAACAAAGACGGAGAAGCTAAAATTGATTGATGGAAAGTCTCCTGCAGGGCTGGGACGCAGGCAGGCTCAGCTACCTTACCAGAGCCAAGCAAATGCCCGGAGGCCAAACTACTTCCATTCTCTGCCTCCATGAAACAAGTGTACCTCCCAGACACCTTGGAAACGTCCCACAGTCCCTAGGAGGTGTCCCCCCACCCCTCCAAACACAAACAATGTCGCCAATTTTGCTGTGTGTGGTTTGATTCTAGGGAATTCTCTAGGCTTTGGACAAAGGCACTGAGATCACTATTCCTCCCCCTCTGCCCCCCACCTCCATGACAAGTCCTACGCTTGTAGTTCTGGTAGGAGTCAAGAATCAGGAGGTGGAGGGGAGCAGCCCTGATCTCGTCATGGCCAGAGATCGGAGAACCCATCCATCTGTCTGCCTCTCGCCCAGAGTCAAGGAGCCAGAGACTGGCAGCAGCAACTTCCTCCTACGGGACGTTCTTCTTCATATCACCGCGCTGAAGGCTGAAATTACACTGCCAAATACCAGCCCACCTCACACACAGTTCTCTGGAGCTCTTACAAAAAGTATCCACTGGGAATGGAATTTCTCCTGTTTCCCTAGAAGAAAATACTGAAAAATGGCAAAAGGCACCATGAGGTAACCCCGGCCCCAGCTCCTGAGGAGTGAAAGGTTCTCTGGGCAGCTCTTCAGTGCCTCGTCCCTCGGGCAGTGCCTGAGGTGGGCAGGCGAATGACCAGGGACCTGCCCAAGCTAAAGACTTCCAGGCATGGGGGTGTGTATGGAGCAGCGAGGAGAGTGGGCAAGTGTCTGCTGGACAGACCAAAGTCTGAGCTGAGTCCAAACTGTCTCCCAGGCTCCTGCAAGACTCAGCTCAAATTCTACCTTCTGCAGGTGGCCCTCCCAGCTGCTGGTGCCATCCTTGCTGAGGTTACCTGTCAACCCACTGGTGTATGTCTTATGTGTATGCTATGTGTCCATATGACACACACATGATATATGTGCTAAGGTTACCTGCCAACTAACTGGTCTGTGTCTTATGTGTATGATATGTGTATACATGATACATATGTGATACATGTGCTAAGGTTACCTGTCATCTAATTGGTGTGTCTTATATGTATGCCATGTGTATATATGATACACATGTGATATATGTACTAAGGTTATCTACCATCTAATCAGTGTGTCCTTCCAGCTCTGAAATCCTGTGTTCTAAGTAAGGTCTCTTCTGGCTCTGATATTTTTTCTTCTCCAGGCCCCTGCGGATCACAGAAATGGAGGTGGAAGGACCCACCCCATCAAGTTCAATTTATTCCCCCAGGACAGGAACCCCTTCCTCTGCCCAATCCCTTACAGGCCTCTCCTGGTTGCTGAAGTTTCCTGTTATTTTTTTTTTTTTTTGCTTTTTTCTTTTCTGGTGAGGCAATCGGGGTGAAGTGACTTGTCCAGGGTCACACAGCTTAGTAAGTGTCAAGTATCTGAGGCTGGATTTGAACTCAGGTCCTTTTGACTCCAAGGCCAGAGCTCTATCCACTTCGACACCTAGCTGCCTCAGGTTGCTGAAGTTTCAAAAGGTGCAGGCAAATTATTCCATTCTCTGAGAAACTTTTCAAGATAAGTAACCAAACTAATACAATGATCTCACCCACTAGGCCAGGGGGGCTTAGACTTTCCTGTATTGTGGCTCACTTTGGCCATCTGATAAAACCCCTCCTCAGAGAGAATAATATTTTTAAATGCATAAAATCAAATGCATAGTATTACAAAGGAAACCAATTTTGCTGAACTATGTTTACCAAAAAAAAAATCTACACTTTTTAAAACAAAATCACAGACCCCTGGTTAAGAACCCCTACTTATGGTGTTGTTTCTGTTGTTTAGTCATTTCAGTCGTATCCAACTCTTCATGACCCCATTTGGGGTCTTCTTGGCAAAGGTACTCGAGTCGTTTGCCATTTCCTTCTCCAGCTCAATTGACAGATGAGGAAACCGAGGCAAACGGGGAAGTGACTAGCCCAGGGTCACATAGCTATTAAATGTTGGATTTGAATTCAGGTCTTCCTGATTCCAGGTCCTGAGTGCTATCTACTTTGCTACCCAGCTGCCCCCAAGGTACCTAAGGTATAAGGCTATAAGTGATCACATCATTTTCAATAAAAAGAAATGTTTTTTATTTGGAAATGTTTGTGCAAATTGGAGGGCAGGGGTGGGAGGGAGGCTAATTGACACATGGTCAAGAAAAGTTCCTCTATCAGCAAATGGATTCTTTAGTCACATTGACAGCTTTTCTCCTTAGCAGCCCAACCTTCTGGTAATTAGCCTTTCCAAAAGCTGGGAGGCTGGTCCAGAGAAAGCAGACCCAGCAATGTGCCTGAAGCCTTCCCCTCCTGGGAGGAGCTGTCTTTCAGGACCCAGGGTCCCCTCCAACTCCTTAAATTACCCAATCATCTTTTTAAATGGAAATCTGGACTGGAAAACCTTCCCTGCTTCCTTAAACAGAGTAGAACAAATTTAAGTCCAACCAGTTCAGTCTCAATAGTCTATGTTCTAAGGTCCTTCCCAGGATCAGCATTCTATGATTAAAGTCCCCCCCCCCCGGCTCTGACAGTGTAGGAAATGTCTGGGTCTCCTCTTGGTCATTAGACACTGAACTCCGTAAGGAGGGAGAGAGTGATGGAATAAAATGTACCCATCTTGTGAATACGTGGCTATGCCTCTTTTGTTCCAGGGGCTCTCAGGACACAGTGGATGACTGGGAGATTCCCAGAATGACTAAGACAAGCCTGGCTGGCTCCCTCAGCTCCTTAACGTTTGGAATGAGAGGGGAAAGCCCAGCCAGTCAGATTCCTGATTACAAAGGGGGTCTCTCCCAGACATGGCTCAGCAGGATCCTATTGAGAAAGGCTGAGAGCGGGCACAGCACGTAGAAAGCCCAACTAGCGTTTTTAAAGAAGGTCAGGGCCAAGCAGCACAGGACTGAGAAGCCACTAGCTTCTTTTCTGGAGTTTCTACCATGCGTAATAATGCTCCTAACAACTTAGCCTCGGATAGCAGCAGTTACTACTTGGGCATTATTGCTATTAATAACACTCAGCATGCCCTTTTCAATGGGGCTTTCCAAACACGCCTCCACATCCTCACTGGCCTTTTAGAGGCAAAAGGGCTCAAGGGATGGAGATGATCTCATCTTTACTTTTTGTTACTTCTGTCTCCTTCCCCACCAGAGGCCTCAGTTTCTACATCTGTAAAATGAGTAGAGGTGCATGAGATGATCTCTAAGACCCATTTCCCTCCCAACCAGCAGCTTCAATAAGCAGTTAAGTAGTGAAAGGGGTGAGAACCCCTGACCTGAAGCCACATGGGACCCGAGTTCAAATGTGATCTCGGACACTTACTAGCTGCATGATTCTGGGCAAGTTATTTAACTCAACTGTAAAAGGTAGCAACTGTAAACTGTAAAATGGAGATCCCAGGATTGCTGTGATGATCAGATGCGCTAATATTTATTTGTATGGTTTGCAAGCCTAAAACTGAGGTATAATACTAGCCATTATGATGCAGATAACGCTAAACTGTGAATAACCCACAAGTCATTTATATTAGGCTTTGAAAAAATATTGTACAGATTTGTTTGTCCAGATCATCAATTGTACACATTATTGTACAATATGTTTGCTTGTTTTGGCACATAGTACATAGGTGTCTAAAATGAGCTTTTATATTTATTTTGCAGCTCGAGGCCAAGTGAGGTTACAGGATCACGAATGAACTTGGAAGTGACCTTAGACATTATCTTCTAGAACAACCCTCTCATTTTACAGATGAGGAAACTGAGGCTCGGAGAAAGGCCGGCTCTAGTTCAAAATCAGACAGGTAGTAAATGGCTGATTCAGAATTTGAACTCAGGTGCTCTGCAAGGGCCAGAAGCCCAGCCCAGGAAAAGCAGGAAGTGGGACGTGGGCAGACAGCTCACCCCCCACCCTACAAGATAGGGTGTGATCTAGGGGTAGCTGATCGGGAAGCAGAGGGTGAGAGGGCAAAGGGAGGTCCAGATTTAACACTCTGCTCAGCTTCTATACTTCCAGCACGTCCCACACCTACTCCTGTCCTCTTCCAGGTGCAAACTTCTGGTCTGGGGACAGGCAGGTGACCCAGGTCCTGCCCTGGGGGGTTAGGAGGAGGGCTAAAATCCCGGGGACCCGAGCAGTATATACCCCTCCCTTACCCCACCCCACCCCCACCCCCGTCCCAGCCTCGCCGCTTCCAGGCACCTCCTGGGATTCCCACCCCTATCCTCACGCCCCCACCATCACACGTACCTCCCACCGCGAGGCTCTTTGGAGACTTGGCCCTTTAACTCAATCCGACCCCTCCCCCCAAAAAGATCTGCGTGGGGCACCTTGGGAAATGGAGTTCTCCTCCACCCCTGGTCTTGACCTTGACTCCCCAAGGGCCTTAGGCAGCAACCTTTGACAGAATGGGGAGAAGGAATAAGGTGTATTTTCTTGTGTTGGTACCCTTCCCAAAGGGCTTCAGAACCTGCCCGGAGGGAAGAGGGTCAAGGGAGGGCCCCTTGAGCAGACAAAGAAACTACAACTCCCAGAAAGCCCTTTGGCCTCCGCCCGGAGCATCGCGAAGAGACAGACTCCACCCCCTCGCTCCGAGCGCTCCCGGGACTTCCACGTTTTCCCCAGACTAATCAATTTCAGGCAGACTGGCGCAACCCTGGGCTTGCTAGTGTAACAACTCATAGTTACAATCGTTGCCTTGTTTTAAGCCTAGGTGAGCCCCCAAGGGCCGCTTGGTCCCCTCTTCTTGGGCTTTAGGGAGTTTATTTACGAAATTTATCAAATGAGATAACTCGTGTAAAGCGCTTTGCGAAACTACCGTTTATCGCTATCTCTAATTAATGCCTGACCCTGCCTCTGCGATTGAGACAAAATTCAGTTTACTGCAAATATTTCGGTCAGGAAACAGGAAACATTTAAATCTCAGTAGCTTAAAGCTACACTGAGACTTTTGGGACGACCCGTATTCTAGTGTCTCGATTAACAGGCAGTTGGGGAAAGATCCTCCGTTTTTTTGAGATGTCCTTCTTCTCCGAGATGTCTGTGAAGCCAATGACTCCCCAGTATTTCCTCTTCTTGTCACAGCTCAGTCCTTCTCAAAGGTGGGGTGGAAATGCTCTGAATCTGGCTCCCCTAGTTCCGAGAGAGCCATTTCATACAAATCGCTTTGGGTGTGACCTGGTCTCACAAATGGCTCACAGATCACACAGTCTTAGACGATTTATTCAGGGAAGCGAGAAGCTCCGGTCCATTCTATAGTTGAACCGTTTTGGCTAGTACAGGTGGTTTCGACTCTCGTCTGTATACAACAGATCTAAAACACTCTTCTTTCAACTATGACTCTGCTTCACCTTATGTTGATTACATTTGTTGTTGTTCAGTCCCGTCCAACTCTTCCTAAACCCATTTTGGGGTTTTCTTGGCAAAGATACTCGAGTGGATACAGCTCATTTTCCAGATGAGGAAACTGAGGCAAACAGGGTTAAGTGACTTTCCCGCCCAGGGTCACACAGCTGGTAAGTGTCTGGGGCCATATTTGAACTCAGGTCTTCCTAACTCCGAGCCCCCCCTCCCCTGCACGCCCCCCCCCCACTCTATCCCCTTCACCACCTAGCTGCCCAAAATCTGCTTAAGCCCTTCTTTATAATTTGATTTGATTCAACAGTAACACTTGCTTGAGGCCAGGCACTGTGCTATATTTTGGGAATGCAAAGACAATGGAGGACACACACACACACACACACACACACACACACACACACACACACACA